CGGCTTATTTAGCTCCGGGTGTGGGTGGGAGCGGGACGTCCTTAGCTCCGGGTGGGGGGTGGAGAGCGGGTCATCCTTAGCTCCGGGTGTGGTGGGGTGGGGAGCGGGACGTCCTTAGCTCAAGGTGTAGGGGGGGAGCGGGACGTCCTTAGCTCCGGGTGTGTGGGGGGAGCGGGACGTCCTTAGCTCCGGGTGTGTGGTCTGGGTGTGGGGGCGGTACTGGGACGTCCTTACCTCGGGGTGTGTGAGGGGGAGCGGGACGTCCTTAGCTCCGGGTTGGGGCGGTGGGAGCGGGGGTGGGGGACGTCCTTAGCTCCGAGTGTTGGGGGTGGAGAGCGGGTCATCCTTAGCTCCGGGTGGGGGCGGGGGAGCGGGACGTCCTTAGCTCCGGGTGTTGAGGGGGAGTGGGACATGACCACTGTCACATTTCAGTGACTCTGGATGGAAACATTTAAAGGAGCTCACATTCCTCGGATAAGTTTCTTTTCTTTCTCAGTGTCATGCAGGAAACAGGATGACGATGTGGACGTCAGTGCTATAACACTGGGTCCATGTAGGTGAATGTCACAGGGTTGGGCCGCTGTGTCTTTGTCGTGTGGAGACTCAGGCTGGATGGTGCCTTTGCTGCTTTGCACAGAGCTAGTGGTCAACTTGAAGGTCCAGAATGGATTTATGGTGGTGGCACTGGAAGAAAGAATGGATTTAGAAACATGTTAGAAACAGAAATAGTAGCATCTGGTGACGCTTTCATCTGTTTATTTTTTAATAGAGATGGCGTCTTGCTGTGTCACCTGGGCTGGAGTGCAGTGGTGTTATCACAGCTCACTGCAGCCTTGACCTCATGGGCTCCAGTGATCCTCCCATCTTAGCCTCCTGAGTAGCTGGGACTACGGTTGAACCACCGTGCTTGGCTGAATTTTCTTTTTTTAATAGAGATGGGGTCTTGCTGTGTTGCCCTGGCTGGTCTTGAACTCCTGGGCTCAAGTAATCTTCCTGCCTCAGCCTAGTAAAGTGCTAGGATTACAGGTGTGAGCCACCATGAAACCTGGCCCAAAATAACTTCCTTTAAACATTTCTTCGGCCGGGCGCGGTGGCTCACGCCTGTAATCCCAGCACTTTGGGAGGCCGAGACGGGCGGATCACGAGGTCAGGAGATCGAGACCATCCTGGCTAACACGGTGAAACCCCGTCTCTACTAAAAAAAAAAAATACAAAAAACTAGCCGGGCGAGGTGGCGGGCGCCTGTAGTCCCAGGCTCCGGGAGGCTGAGGCCGGAGAATGGCGTGAACCCAGGAGGCGGAGCTTGCAGTGAGCTGAGATCCGGCCACGGCACTCCAACCTGGGCGGCAGAGCGAGACTCCGCCTCAAAAAAAAAAAAAAAAAAAAAATTTCTTCATGTGTAATTAATTAATTCAAATCAATATTTAACTTTAACCTCTGATGAGTGTTTTCTAAAAGACGAGGCTGGGTTGGAAAGCAAGGGGAGAAGCCCACTGTCCACAGGTGGCTGCAGATGCCAGTGGCACTTTCTCGCTGGAGTCCGCTCCGCTGTTGGAGGTTATGTGGCTGGAGCAGTGAGCGTCAGGTCCAGGGTTTCTGCTGTTTGGCTTACAGAGCGGGAAGCCCTCACACCCACTTGGAGTGTGGGTCAGACAAGATGGCACAGCGGTGGGGTTTGCTTTCCATCTGGGCCATGAGTGTCCTCCCTGCAAGTGACGTTTTGGCTCCACCACCTCTGAGGGTGCACCTTGGAGGTGATTTCAGCCCAGGTTTATTTCTCCTTGGATTTCAGGATGAGATGAGAGTGGGGAAAAGAATTCCCTTAAAGCCCTGCATTGAGGGGAAGGGGAGTTAAATTAGTTTGATCTGTTTTGTTTGGGAGGCAATTCAAAGGGATTTAAACATTGTTCAGGGTTCTTACTGTGCAGTTCTCCAAAGAGTTTTGTTATGAAAAGGTTCTAGATGATTTAGTTGATGTGAATCAAGCGTAAATCGAGGGACAGAGGCCCTGGTGAGTTGGTGCTAGGCAGCCCCTCATCTCCTGTTTGCTCACCATGTGCACGAAGGATGCCGGCCCAGGACACGTGCGTGCAGATGCTGAAGACCGCAGGCTCCAGTTCTCATCCACTATGTGGGCTGAATCATGCTGATGGTTTTGCTGCCTAGCTCTCCTGATGTCTCGCCCCTGTCCCCAGGTTGGGATTTGTTCTGATGGGAGTACTGGGGGACTTTGCCCATCGGTTCCATACTCGAAGAGTTGATTTTAAGCATGGATTGCTGGGCTGCTCCGTAGGGCAGAGTCTGAGGGCTGGTCAAGTTGGTCTGTAAAAGGCCTTGGCAGAAGCATGTGGTTTACATGTGGCAAGTGGGGACTGACAGCACCAGGGCAGGGAAGCCGTAAATCGTTGAACAATTTGAAACTCTATAGAGGGAGACAGCATGGATAGAAAACTTGAGGGTAAACAGTCCATATTAGCTGAGTTTTAAGTGCTCCAAAGTAGCATTCTGTGCATTTAAGAAACTGGCTGTTTTTTTTCTTCCTGGAAACTAGAGAGACCAAAGAAAAATCCTGTGATCTCTGTGAGAGACCTCTTGTCTTCAGGGTTTTTAACTTTATCAGCATCAGTAATGTTAACGACCATTAAGAAACCCCACTGGATATGTTTTGTGACATACTTACTTTTCACATTCTGAGCTGGTAGCCTTGTGCCTTCCCAGTGTCCCCTGAATGTCCTCAGCATCCCCTGTATGTGGCACCCGTGTCTTGTGGTTGAACTGTCCCCTAAGGTTCTAGGTGTCCCCTCTCTGTGGTGCCCACGTCTCCTGGTTGGACTGTCCCTGAGTGTCCCGGGTGTCCCCTCTCTGTGGTGCCCACGTCTCCTGGGTCTCCTTGTTGGACTGTCCCTGAGTATCCTGGGCGTCCCCTCTCCGGTCACTCGTGTCCTGGGTTCCATTCAGCCTTTTTGTTTATAGCAGGTCCTATATTAAACCTTTCTGTAGAAGTTAACTTTAAATAAAAAGAGTTGGCCGGGCACGGTGGCTCACACCTGCAATCCCAGCACTTTGGGAGGCTGAGGTGGGCGGATCACCTGAGGTCGGGAGTTCGAAACCAGCCTGACCAACATAGAGAAACCCCATCTCTACTAAAATTATGAAACTTAGCCGTGCGTGGTGGCGGGTGCCCGTAATCCCAGCTACTCGGGAGGCTGAGGCATGAGAATTGCTTGAACCTAGGAAATGGAGGTTGCAGTGAGCTGAGATTGTGCCACTGCACTCCAACCTGGGTTACAGAGTGTGTAAAAAAAAAAAATTATTTAATATGGCCGGGCGCGGTGGCTCAAGCCTGTAATCCCAGCACTTTGGGAGGCCGAGACGGGCGGATCATGAGGTCAGGAGATCGAGACCATCCTGGCTAACACAGTGAAACACCCCGTCTCTACTAATACAACTTTACCGGGGCGCGAGGCAGCGCGTAGTCCAGGCACTCTGAGTGAGCAGAGATGCCCGGGGACCGGCGGGAGCTTACGTTGAGCTGAGATCCGGCCACTGCACTCCAGCCTGGGTGACAGAGCGAGACTCCGTCTCAAAAAAAAAAAAAAAAAAATTATTTAATATGTTTATGAGGTATTACAGCTTTTTTTGTTTGCCCTAATTTTCACATGTCCAGGAAGAGTTTTAGTGGCTTGTCCATGAAAAGTTTCCATTTTTCGTTTGGACTAAATCTGTTTTTTTTTTTTTTTTGAAACAAACTCCCAAATGCTTCCTTTATTTATACCTTTAAGGAAGTGTTTCTCAAAGGGAAAAATTGGATAATTATGGTATATTCTCTGCAGGAAATCATCCTTGATTGATTTTGCTTAGCTGAAGTTAGGTTTATCATCAAGCTCTGATGTACTGGGATTGTAGGGTTATACCCTGTGTTGTTGGAGTGTTACTGTGGCATGGTGATAAGTGGTTAGGTTTTACTGGGGTTTCAAGGTTGTACCCTGTGTTGTTGGAGTATTACTGTGACATGGTGATATGCGGTTAGGTTTGGCATGAAGCTCTGTTGTACTGGGGTTGTAGGGTTGTAGCCTGTATTGTTGGAGTGTTACTGTGATGTGGTGATAAATGGGTAGGTTTTACCAGGGTCATAGGGTGGTAGCCTGTGTTGTTGGAGTGTGTTACTGTGACATGGTGATAAGTGTTAGGTTTTACCGGGGTCGTAGGGTTGTAGCCTGTGTTGTTGGAGTGTTACTGTGGCATGGTGATAAGTGGGTAGGTTTTACTGGGGTTGTAGGGTTGTACCCTATGTTGTTGGAGTGTGTGACTGTGGCGCGGTGATAAGCACCTGTGTGTTCTGCACTGAGGTTCTGCTCAGGCCTCAGTGCAGCTGTGGAGCGGGAGCAGCACAGAAGAAGGAGCTGTGGCTGCACTGGCAAAGCTCATGCTCCCCTCGGGGAGACCAGCGTGGATCTTGTCGGAATCATCATCTCGAGGGTTGCCAGGAGGCGGTGGTGCAGTGTGACAGGAGGCGCCCCAGCTGGGGGCGAGGGTGCAGAAGGGGAGTCCCAGCCTTGCCTTAGAGCACAGTCAGCCTTTCCTGTCCTCCGGTTCCTGTGGGTCGGGGTTTGGGAGTGGCATGGGGGGACGTTAGGGTGCAGTCCTCACGCTCCCTGAAGGTTGGGTTGGGCTTAGGGGCCCTTCTGAGGTGTGGGCTGGTGCTGGCCTCTGCCTGGGCCTCCCTAGGAGTGCTTGGGCATCCTTGTGCTATGGCATCTGCGTCTCCCAGGGTGTGCGGTGAGAGCAAGTGGTCGCCACAGCCAGGTAGAAGCTCTGGAAGGGACCCTGAGCGGGAAGGCACACAGCTAGGCCTCCACCCCGCCCTCCTCATCAGAAGTGTGGCTGGGCGGGCGGCTTGAGCTCAGCAGTTTGGGCAACGTGGCGGAACTCTGTCTCTACAAAATACAAATATTAGCCAGGTGTTATCCCAGCTACTGGGGAGGCTGAGGTGGGAGGATGACTTGAGCCGAGGTTGTGCCACTGCACTCCAGCCTGGGTGACGGAACCAGACCCTGTCAGAAAAACAAAAAGATGACGACGAAGAAGAGTGTGACATAGAATCTGGCCCACGTTCGCCAGAAGGGGAATCGGCTTGACTTGTAAAGGAAGGGTTGTTGAAGAGTCAGTGGAAATGTTTTAAGACCACGGCACCTTGTTATTTTAATATTCCCCCTCAGATTCTTAGAACAGTTGGATACCTGGTGAGCCGGCTGCCCGGATGCCTCCTTTCCCGGCACGCACAGTGTAGATTCTCTCACAGCTGGTGGTGAGGCACTGCGACATGCTCAGCAGTGCTGGTGACAGAGGACTAAGACAGGCCTTCCTTTCCGGAAGGTGAGGGCTTAGCTGGAGGGATGTCATCACTCTTGAAAGGTGGATTATCCAGCGAGGAGCACACACTTTCGTGGTGGAGAACAGCAAACATCAGAGGAGTTGGACGGCATTTTTGGGCCTGGGGCCTTTTTTGGGTTTTATCTGCGCAGGCCCAGCTCTGCGGCAGTGCTCGGTGTGTGTGAGGAGCTTGGCGTTTATTTGCTGAATACAAGTACAGGGCCTGTGAGGGCCAGAGAGACAGGTGAGCTTGTGGGCCCACCGGTTGCCCAGTGCAGCGGACGGGTGTGACCGGGTGTCCTCAGGGACCGGCAGGCTTTCCCTGGCGACTATTGAGCATTCACTCCACAGGAGTCGGTTCCGTTCCTGACGTGTGTTGGCACTTGGCAGGACTCCAGAGCTGAAAGCTGCTGAGCCTCATGATGCCTCACTGTGCTCATTAGAAAAATGGAGCCAATAGCCTTCTTAGTAGGGTTATGAGATGGAAATATTGTGCTTGACTCAGGATAGCACGTGGTACGCACCAGATGCTAAACTCGTTTCTGTCTGTCATACATCCCAGCTGCTGTTGCTGTGTAAAGGGCTGTGGTGTGAGACGACAGCAGCCGTCTAATTTTCTCACATACTCTGTGGATCAGGAGAGCTCACAGCAGCAGGCTTAGTTCTGTCACTGATACCTGGGGCCTCGGCTGGGGAGACTCGAGGTTCGGGAGGTGGTGACTCATGGGGGGCCGCGGGAGCTGTGCCTCTTACGCACTTGCCCTGGTGCTGGCTGTGAGGGACCCTCTGGGCTGTGGCATCCGCAGGGGCCTCTCCCCAGGGCTGCTTCTCTTCCTCACAGGGGAGTATCTGGATCTGCAGCCCAGGAGGACCAGGTGGAAACCCATTGTCCTGGGAGGCCCACGATGCCTTATGTCCTGGGTTGAGCCCAGGGCCGCGGAAGGAGCACAGACTCCTGCGCGCAGCAGTTGGGACGTGAGTCTGTTGTGGCTGTTTTTGGAAAATACAGTCTGACACAAGATATTTTAAACCCACGGAATGTTTGTCCTTCCTCTGTTGTTCAACTGCTGTTGTAACTTGTTTTCACTTTTGTTTTGTAATATTTAATAGTTTTTGAAGTAGCCAAAGGGATACATTTTATAATAATGCGTCATTTTAGACTAGTGAATAATTTTTAAAAATCTGTATTTCTGTTACCTTTTATTCCAGGAAGTAGAGAAGTATTTTCTGGCATGTCAAGAATTAACTGCCATTGATTTAAATGGCCTAATGGAAAAGCTGCTCACTGGAGCACAGACAATTAATTATTTTAAACTTTAAACCTTCTAACTTTATACTTTTCTATTTAGAGAAGAACCAAAGATGATACCTGGAAAGCAGATGACCTCAGAAAACATCTCTGGGTAATGACTGTGAAGATTTGGATTGGGGTCTGTGAGGGACTCATGTGGTTTTCCTGGACCCAGTTTACCTGGTACACAGCACTGTGTGACTTTGGTTACGTGTGCCTCATTGCAGAAGTACTTTCAACTCAGAGGTGAAGGCGTGCAGCTCACAGTCCCTCTGGAACGTTTGTTAAGCCAGCTGGACCCTCCCACCGCTCGTGGGGCCCTGCCAAGGCTCAGGGGCCTCCGCACTGCTCCGGGGTGGGAGTCCTGGCTTCAGGGGCTGCAGCGGTGGGGTGGGGGGAGGGGCTTTGGGACCGAGAGAGTCCTCATTTGTATGGGGCCCAGGTGGCTGGTGTCTTAGCGACTTTAAAACATAGCTTTGGTATCTCTCTTTTAACACATATAGTATTTTATTTATTTATTTTTAATTAATTTTACTCTATGTTTTAGAGATGGGGTCTCACCCTTTTACCCAGGCCGGAGGGCAGTGGTGAAATCATAGCTCACTGCAACCTTGACCTTCTGGGCCTAAGCTGTCCTCCCGCCTCAGTCTCTCGAGTAGCTAGGACTACAGACATGAACCACCAGGCCTGCTACTTTTTTAATTTTTTAATTTTTTGGGTAACATGCAGATCTTGCTGTGTTGCTCGGGCTAGCCTTGAACTCCTGGCCTCAGGCAATCCTTCTGCCTCAGCCTCCCAAAGTGCTGGGATAGTAGGTGTGAGGTACCATGCCTGGCCCTACTTATTTTTTTTGAATTTTACTTTATTTTTCACATTTAGGGGTTATAGGTACAGGTTTCTTACATGTGTATCTTGCGGAGTGGTGAAGTCTGGGCCATTAGTGCGCCTGACACCTGAATTGTACCTGTCACCCAAATTGTACCTGTCACCCGAATAGTGAACATTATACCCGATAGGTAATTTTTCACCCTCTGATACACGTAGTATTTTAGATTTGATTTGCCGATAAATGTGAATGTCCATGATATCAGGGGTGTGGGTGGGCAGCTGTAGAAATCTAAGCTTGACTCCATGTCCTTTAGTGTTCTAAGAACCTCCATGCAGGCCCTGACCCGTCTAGGGTTGGAAACTGAGATTGGAAAGCAGCCGAATGCAAATATGTTTTAAGGTCCTTCAGCTGTATGTGCTTCTCACATTCAGGTATTAAAAGTCTAATGGAAATCTGCCTTCCTGGTCACGGAGGACCCTTTGTTCTCTTGTTTTAGGCCATACAGTCAGGCGGTTCCAAGGAAGAAAAGAAGCACAGAGAGAAGAAGCTGCGTAAGGGGTCTGAAATGGACCTTCCTGAACACAAGGAGCCGAGGTACAGGGATCCCGACCAGGATGCCAGGAGCAGAGACAGGGCGGCTGAAGTCCACACTGCTAAGGAGAGTCCTCGTGGGGAGAGGGACAGAGACAGACACAGGGAGAGGAGAAGAGACGCAAAAGACCGGGAGAAAGAAAAGCTGAAGGAGAAACATCGAGAGGCAGAAAAGTCTCACAGCAGAGGAAAGGACAGGGAAAAAGAAAAAGACAGAAGGGCCCAGAAGGAAGAGCCCCGGCAGACCGTGGCCCGCCACAACCTGCTGGGCCAGGAGACACACGACCGGCAGCTCCTGGAGCGGGCGGAGAGGAAAGGCCGCTCGGGTGGGTCCCTGTTTGCCTTCCTGCAGGGCTGTTTCGCTGCTGGTGACAGGTTGATAGCCCACTCCCTCCCCTCTCTCCCTCCCTCCCTCCCCTCTGTCTCCTCTCAGGGCTGGAGAGAGGTGAGGCCGAGGGAGGGAGTGGGAAGGGAGGAAAGGGAGTGAGGAGGGAGTGAGGGAGAGTGGGAGGAAGGGGAGGAGGGGAGGGAGTGAGGGAGGGATGAGGGAAGGGATGAGGGGAGGGAGGGGGGGGAGTGAGGAGGGAGGGCGGGGAGGGGACGGGAGGATGGAGGGGCATGGAGGGAAAGAGTGGAGGGAGGGAGGGAGGAGGGAGGGAGAGAGGTGAGCGGAGAGGAGGGAGGGAGGGATGGAAGAGAGGAGGGGAGGGAGGGGAGGAAGAGAGGGAGGGAGGAGGGGAAGAGAGGAGGGGAGGGAGAGGAGGAGCGGGGAGGGAAGAGAGGAGGGAGGGACGGGAGGGAGGGAGGGAGGGAGGGAAGGGGAAGGAGGGAGGGGAGGGAAGTGAGTGGAGAAG